ACTGGCATGGGAAGATGTCTAAGACTTACTGCAAGATGGAGTATAGTGCTCTCCAGAGTGGAAAGTGTAATTTCATTTTTGTAAAATAATAAATGAAATTTTCATATATGCTTTGAAAAAAGTTCACTGGTTTTCTCAGCTGTGTGGGATTATAGAAGATTTTCACTTTCTATGAGACATATTCTTATGATATTTCAAGCTATGTTTTATACAGGGTCTGTAACAAATAACACCCCTTTTTTAATGTAAAATCTTTTATTACAAACATAACCATGTAATTCTCTAACGTAACAATATCACCATATGGCATTTCAGGTGAAATGTCTGAATTAAAACTATAACTTATTACATCCACAGTATTACCCTACCAGCCACACTCAAGTGGGCGTTACTTCTACCAGACACTGTGTGTGTGTGCCATTCTTTTTGTCATTAAAAAAACCCAAAGCCCCCACCCCCTACAACCTATTTCCATGGCTTGCTCCCTAGAGAGCCCTATTAGGGAAGTGTAGAAGCCTAGTCCAGATCCATTAACTTCACTGGGAAGCAAAGCTTAGCTGACACTGGAACAGTGATGCCACTTACCCAAAGGGAGGACCAGGCATAGAAATACTTCTGGCCTTTACAGTCTATAAGCCATTGTAATAACTAGCCCACGATGGAGTGTTCTTGTAGGGAGGAGCGAAGGAGAATAAGTTTAAACTGTGGCTGGCATTTTAACCACTGCTGCAGCTGAGAAGGCACCCGAGGACCAGAGACTCAAACTAAGAGATCTATCTCACCTTTGATGGTGGCTGGCCCCAGCTAGGCAGTGTGCAAAAAAAGACAAACAGGAGTTTGTGTTAATTTGTACACCTTTATCAAGCTAAGATTTTGTGTTAGTTCTCTTTGGTTGAACAGCAGATACCCATTTTTTTTTCGGTGGGGTGTGTCTATAGCTTATGCAATTGAGGGGATTCTTTTAAGAAAAAGAATGCAAAATTATAAATACAAAATTAGGTAGAGGGCTTTGGAAAGGGCCCTGAAGAAGGAGGATGCTTAAGCTAAGCTTCATTAGCTTCCCAGTGATCACTCTGTTCTAAAAACCAGGATAACATGGGAGAGAGTAATGGGCACACTTCCCTATTCTTTAAGAATTATCCTGCCGAAGAGGAGTTTCCATCTCACAGGTGGTGAAACCTAGAGGAAACACCGTGAGCCCTGGCAGACCGTGTGATCTGTGCTTTGGGGGGTACTCGAGTTTCTGTGGATGTACAAGCTCTGGAGAAGCCCCATTTGTTGATAGTGGCAGGCGCCCAGTTCTTGATGCTCATAAAACTATGGCAGTCAGAGATGTATTAGGTCACCATTCTAGACTGGGGTCCAAGGCAGGATGGCTCACCATCGTCGTCATTCCAAACTTTTATCCAGGCAGCTTGGAAATGTTTTCGGGGCCTCACTCTTAAAAAGCTGTTCCTTCCCTCTGGTTCCTGGGTAAATGTTGAGAGGTTTGATTAAAAAAAAATTTAGAGTTGGAGGCACACAACTACTTAATTATATCCATTCACTTAGATTTCTATCACTGTTTTCCACACGAAGAAAACAATTTAGTATAACAAAAAAGTCTTGTATCCCTGACATAAATTTTCCATCAAGCAACAAATCACTGATTTTTTTTTTCTGGTTCCTTATATTTTAACTTTGGTGGTGAGTTTCTTTTTAGCTTTAGGGAAAAAGCAAACCTGGGTTCTCTTTAGTCAGCATTATCAAGAATGAGTAACATTTAAAAGCTGCTTTTGTTAATGGAAAGAAAGTACTTTCCTAAACACTTATTTGGAATCTGTTTTCCACTGCCTTTGGTAAACTTGATATATTCCCAAATTTTATTTTAGGCTTCTATAGGAGTTATAAAAATAGTTTTTATTTTCTCCTGTTTTCCTTTAAGTCCATGTTGATAACAATCCTAATTTCCAAAACATGTTGGTAGCTACTTTTTGTAGTAAAGAAGGAAGGATTGTTCTAGACTAGGAGAGTAGCCTTGAATTATCATTGGTCGATTAATGTATATGCTATATGTCCTTAGTGAAATCTCTTATTTCCTATGATGTGTGAACGTGTGTGGTTTGCTCATTTGTTATGTGTTTGATGATTTATTGGGGGGAGGAGCTTAAAAATACTCAACACAGTTGTCTTTTTGATAAGTAATGTTACTTAGCAAATATAAAAGTGCTAACAAATAACATAGTATTTGGACATTTGCACTTGGAAGCTCATTTCTATTTTAAGTCAAAACAAGCAGACATTCGTTTACTCATGCTACTGACACTAATACTAGTTAAGGGAATTTTAGCAACAAACAACCCTCAGGAACTGTTTTCTAAAGAATTCCCAGGGTAGGCTCCTAATTATTCAACTATCAAGAAATTGACTTTAAATGCTATCTGAGTTAAACTTAGCTGAGTTTAATTAGATTTTAAAAGTTGACTGGGAATTCGTCCAAAATGCGCTCATCAAAAAAAAAAAAACACCAAAACAACAACAACAAAAAAACCAAAGGTGTTCAAAAGTAGAGGAAAGAAATAGGATTATGCGGGACAAAATTAATTTTAAACCTCTTGAAGTGGAAAAATGATTAAAGATAGAAATGGTAAAGGTAATATGATTTTCCTTTTATTTTAAAATGAGTTTAATACAATACGTCTCTCCCTGGGATCTTTTGTGACATGGTCCTCTCAGAAATGTGCTAGTCCCTACTAATAAATTACTAAGGATAATGGAAAATAAAAATTATTAAAAGGTACAAAATTACCAAAGGTCATTTTAAACACTATAAGGTCAGTGACTTACAATGTCACTGAACATCACTTTGAGAATATCTCCCCAACCCAAATTATTTAATTTGACAAAATATTTCTTTATGGTTTGTGAATGTGCTTAAATATAATCTCATAAAAGTTCAAATATTTTGATTGTACATTAAACAAATTCACTTAAGGAAAAAATAATAAAATGAAATGAATTTAGTACTATCCAGAACAATATGAACTAAATAGTGGAAAGTTCACACTGACGGTGGCCTCAGTAATGTGAGCTACATTAAACTCCTTATTGGCAAATTCATTGTAAGTTCTTAAATGGATGGGTATCTGTCCTGAAACTCCATGGTTGGGCTCCATAAACGTTTGCAGAACAAATGAATATCACTGAACTCAGGTAGATTCCAGGTTGCTCACTGTTTGATATATATTTTTCTGCTTGTTGGTTATGCTTGGTTGAAATAGTAACTGATCACAAGATAGCACTTGTTTGTATTTACAATCCTGTTGTGAAAATAAGTACTTTCACATGTTCTCTCAAAATCAGGAACTTGGTTTAAAATGAAAAGGAATTTGTCTGTAATAAAAGTTCCAGGGGTAGACCAGGTCCAGCTCCCCAGACAGTGCTGTCCAGAATGTCTCTCTCTTTTCTCTTTCTAGTTCCCACCTTGACCACGTTCTGCACTGTTTTCATTTGTGGGCGAGTATGGTAGCAAACACGGAACCACTCAGCAACCCCAAGTCGGGGACTGTTTTTTTTTTTTTCCACAAAAGCAGCTAATCTTTCATTGCCTTAGCTTGGATTGCATACCCCTCCCTGAACCATATGTGTGGTATGCTGGTATACCAGTTACCCACAGCTGCCATAGACTGGGTGGCTTCAAAGGAGATAAATTATTCTGTCTCAATTTCTGGAGGCCAGTCATTCAGAATGAAGATGCCACCAAAACTGTGCTCCCTCCAGCAGCACAGTTTGGAAATTCTGTTCCAACTTCTGGTAACTCCAGGCATTCCTTGGCTTGTGGCCACATCAATCTGATCTCTGCCTGTGCGATCACATTGCCTCCTCCTCTTATCTGTGTCTCCTCTGTGCCTGTCTCAAATCTTTCTCTGCCTCATAAGGATACTGGTATAATATGGGATGACCTCATCTCAAGATTTTTAACTTAACTACAGCTGCAAAGACCCTTTTCCCCAAAACAGTATATTCAGAAATGCCAGCGATTAAGACAAACATTTTCTGGGGACCACCATTTGACCCACTTGAGTTGGTACATGTCTAATATTCACAGCAAAGGGGAAGCCTTGATTGTATAGTACTTGCCTAATTCTGTAGTGTAAATACTGCAACCATGGCCAATGTCAAGCTACCACTGGGAAGTCACCGAAGAGGAAGTTGGAAGAGATACACAGTAGCACGTCCTCACACAGTCCATCCCCACACGATCCAAGAGACGTAACCTCCAGAGCACAGATAATAGTAAAATGTACACCGATAAGTAGAAAGTGATGGATTTTTGAGTGCCTATTAACTTTGTTTTAAATGCAATTCATTTAATGATACATTCATATAATTTAAATTTTAATAATGATCATGTTTAACAAGTGACTCACAGAATTCCTAAAAATTTATGAGTTAGTTTGGAGGCGCTGGTATGAACCAGTTGCAACACACCACTTAACAGAGTTTGCTGGTTGACCAGGCCTGAGTCACAGAGCCCAAGGCAAAGAAAGGGTCAACAATCCTGAAACCACAGACACTGAAAAGAAGCGGGGTGAAGCCCTGAAGAGAAAACTGGAGTGCTATGACTTATGGGAGGGGAGAACCATGTGGGGAAAACAGAATCGACAAAGCCACTTAAGTATCATTGTTTAAACGTAGTTTAATAATAGCCTAAGGAAAAAATGTTCAAGAAACTTTAAAACAGTCACAGGCACAAGTATTGTGGCCATGTACCGATCTGCAAATCACTCTCTCCAACTAAGGAAAAATCACTATTTTTCACATTTTCACTTTACTTAGCTCACAAAATCTGTTTGTAAGCCTGAGTATATGGATCTGAAGGTGGTGAGTTTCAGAAAAAGAGACATAAACCACTGATCTTTTTTTTAAAAGTATCATTAAAAAAAATTAGCTGTGGCTGGTGTAGCTCAGTGGATTGAGTGTGGGCCTGTGAACCAAAGGATATGGTTCAATTCCCAGTCAGGGCACATGCCTGGGTTGCAGGCCAGTTTCCCAGCAGGGGATGCACGAGAGGCAACCATACATTGATGTTTCTCTCTCTCTCTTCTTCCCTTCCCCTCTAAAGATAAATAAATGAAATCTTAAAAAAATTATTAAAAAAATTAACAGCTGTATTGAAATATTATTTGCACATCATGCAATTCACCCATTTCAAGCACAAAATTCAATGGTTTTTGGTACATTCACAGAGGTGTCCAGCCTCCATCACAATTAACTTTAGAATAATCTGGTCCCCCAGAAGCATGCTCTGCAGCACCGGCCAGGCACCTCCATTGCCTGTGTCCTGACTCCCAGCCCTCTGCAGGGACTAGGCTATTTTCTGTCTCTACAGATTGGCCTATTCTAGGAATGTCATACAATATGTGTTATTTGTGATTAGCTTCTTTCACTCAGCATAGTGTTTTAAGGTTCATCAATGTTGTCGCCTGTATGAGTATTTCATTCCTTTTTATTGCCAAATAGTACTTCATTGCATGGGTGTACCATATTTTGTTTATCCTTTTGTTAGTTGACGGACATTTGGATGTTTCCTCATTCGGGCTGTTATGAATATAATGGTATTGTGGACATGAATGGACAAGTTTTTATGTGGACATAGTTTTCGTTTCTCTTAAACCAATGTTCTTTTAAGTTTGAACACTTAGCAAGGTTTCTTATCTTCCACATGCTTTAGGCAACTGCCGTTTAGGAATTAAATCAGAAATGCCACATACGAATCTGAATCCTCTTCGATATTGGGTCACTCACCCAATCCCTTAAGAATCCTGGGACTGGCTCTGCCCCGAGGAGAAGTCCTGCTCGCCACTCCAGGGGTGCGGAGGGCGCTGTCGGACATTAGAAAGTAGGAGCTGACTTAAGGCCCCCAGATCCCTGTGCAGGTGTGACTGAGTATCTCTATGTGGCACCTGAGTCCTGGCCTTGCCCAACATGGGCTCACAATAATCAGTCCATCACATGCTCCTTCGGGGACTCTTCAAAGTGCAAAGTGTAAAGGATAATAAAAATGAGATCTTATTCTCTGACCTGGTAATCAGAGTCTTGTGGTTTGGGAAACTTGCAGGAAAGAGGGGGAAACTTTTAGCTTCCCTGATAGAGGCCAGCAGAGAGTCTCATTTTCTCCCTTGCATGATGGGAGACTTCTTCCAGATGTTCTGCAGACCTGCAATGAAAAAAAAAACCCAAAAAAAGCTTCTGTATTAATTTATATAGCAACTTTCTTCCAAGAAATTCAGAGTGTCTCTAACAGTCTTTCACTCATTCTCCTAAGGGAATTTGCATAAATGTGCATCAAAAATTAACTTCTTTTAAAACTTACACTCTCCAGTTAGCCAGTACTAGGCAGAAACAGAACTGAAAAAGCAGACCTCCTAACCAAACATTCCACTATAATATTTTCAGTGAGGTTCTATAAATCAATGCACATTCTTAAGAACAGTGTCTCTTCATAATATCCTCATGACCACTCCAAGGACAGGTGTTCCTTTCACCAGGGGCCAAGCTTTCTCTTCCAAAGTTTTAGAATCAATCGTCATGGCCTATACCGTGAAAAAATATCATTTACTTACCATTAAGTATCAGGTCTGCCTGGAAATGGGCAGTTCAGGTTTCACTTGCAGCTCTGCCCTCCTAGCCCAGCCCAACTGAATAATCCCAGGACTGGCTCTGCTTAAGGCGAAGCAGCCCTGCTCACCCACTGTCCGTCCCCCTCACTGTGGTCACTTGCTGTGTTTCTGTGGTGCTTTTAAATGGGGTTGCACTGCCCCACAGGGTCTTGCTGATCATACTGGGACACCTATGCAGTCCCAGTTTCCCAAAATGCAACTCAGTGCCTGGATGGATGACTCTGGGAGAGCTGCCGCATCAGCCACATGTGGGGCCAACCCAGCCCTTCACCCCAAACCAAACACTTAGTTCCTCTCACTGGGCCTTTTCTTCAACATATTCTTATCATGAGGTTCTCCTTGCCCACCCTAGAGAGAGAAAAGAATCTTGGTCAGAGCCAGACTAGCTCATGCCAAACCCCAGGCAGTCATACCTGGGGGATATCTTTTCTTCTTATTGCGTCCTCATATAGGTTTGCCTCTGTACTTGTGTGCTAAGCACTTACAAGGACTTAGCCAGTCACTTCGGGTTAGAGTTCACCCTAATGACTGCCTTTTAACTTAGTAACATCTTTAAAGACTCTAAATACAATCAAACTCTCGGGTACTAGGGGTTAGAGCTTCCGTATATGAATTTTAGATGGACACAACATAACTGGACCCATAACACAGCTGTTCCCTGAAGAGGAGGCACAGTGCTCCAAGTCACCGCACTGACACCATCCTCAAGAGTTGCCCTCGGCCATCCTGTGTCTGCTGCTGTTTGTCCTCCAGCCACCTCTTTCCTGCCGAGGGACCTGCTGATCCCATACGGCTCGTCAAACGCTGACATTGCCTGTCACAGCACAACGGTGGCCGCACACCCCACCACGTCCTCGAACCTGAGGGGCTGCTTGGGGGATCCTCCTCAGCACTAGAATCAGTTTCTTAAAAACAAAACAAAACAAAAAAACAAAGTGTACTCATGACACAGATAAGAAGAGTTCAGGCAGAGTGCAGAAAGGAGATATTGCCATGAGGCAGAGCTGACCACTCCTCTCAGAGACTGGACTGCAGGGTTAAGGAGAGTGAATGCTTGGTCATGATGTAATTTTTCCTGGGGCTGTTTCTACTTAAAATCACCTCACCATACCAGGAACAGCCTGAAATTTCAATGGAACCCAAGCACACAGCCCCTGAGAGAGAGCAGACTCCCAAATTGGTCTTTGTACCTATTTGTAGAAATGTGAGCCAAATTATAGCTGAAAACTCTGCTAATTCTGGGGAAGTTTTGGTCTTGTGCCTGGAACTATTGAAGCACATATTCACACCTACCACATGTAACACTTTAGTAGCATAATTTCCAGCACTTTAGTGCTTTATTTTTAAAAGAAACAGAGCAGAGACTGAAGACCTGCTCACTTCTGCTGCTTTGTGTAGAAGGCCCCACAAAAGGTGGGGCACTTCTGCACCTGAAAAAAGGCATAGCCTGCATTTCTAAAAGGAAGGGGACCCACGCATACACACAGATCTTTGCCCAGAATTGGGGAACGCGTGATGCTGAAACATATAACATCTGCACCCGTGTGTAAACAGAAAAAATGTCCAACTCACAAGGCTCTGGGAAAATAGTATAATAATTATCCAATAAATCTCAGTATTAGAGCTTGCAAAAGACCTCAAAACACCTTCCTCTAACCCCTTTGGTTTTAATACATGGAAAGGGAGCCTCTAAAATTTTTAATGACTCGCCAAGACCAGCACTCTACCAAAAATGCAGGGTTTTGCTTTAAGCTAGTGTGCTTCCCACCCCAGCAGGCTACTTCTAAACAGGCATTGTCCTGTCTGCCTGAATTGCAGGCTAGAAAAACCAATCCCTGCTCTCTCTACATCAGAGTCTCTATTTAGATTTAACAGTTGAGAAAGCAAAGGCTATTTCAATTTCAACTCGCTCGGCAAACGGAAGAAAAGGCATCTGACCAGTGGACTTTTCCAGCTGGTCTTTGGGTCTCACTGCCCGCGGGTCCCCACTGCAGCGAGCTGGCGCCAACGGCCAGTCTGACACCAGGGGGCGCAGCATCCTTTGTGCTGACGCAGGTTCTGAAGGCAGGCTCGGAAACCTGGCTGGGCCTTTCAGGCCAGTCTCCCTGTCACGGTTTCTCTCTGGAACCAGCCCACTCTCCAGCCCTCTTCATTCATCTTCTTCCTGCCTGATGCTCAGATTCTCTCCCTGTACCATTGCGGATGTGTGCATTTTACAGGGTTTTGCATGTGTCTAGAAGCACATTCAGATACACCAGCTCTCCCCAGCTGCTCCTCCTTGGCAAAGCCTAGGAGACCACGGCCACAGCCTATTATTTGCTCTCACATGGAGTCCCCTCCATTCAGGATGTTTCTAAAGACTCTTGCAGAATGCAGGAGACTCGAGGACAGGACTAGCTTCTCGGAAGAATGATCACATCCATCTTCCTAATACTCCTCCCCTTTCCACTCAAACAATAACTAACTCATGAAATCACTGCTTCTGGGAAACTCGTGATGCCCAGCATTTATCCCCGCTCCTTTCTGTCTGCCCTGAAGCAGTCCAAGGTCAGCCTTTGGTGGTGGACACTTACCCAAAGGGACAGACTTGAGTATCCTTTCAGCCACACCTCTTACTAAACTACTGGGCACCCCAAGTGGATAACTGCCTCCTCTGCCTTCCCCAGCTTAGCTTAGTGTGTTCTCCAGCCTAAAGAATCCACTTCGTATTCCCAAATTCTCTGACCCCCCAATCCAGCACTTCCATCTCTCACAAATAAATGAACACCCCTTTTTACTTTAAGACACAAGTGTAAGTGTAGCCTTGCTCCTATTGACATAATGAAGGCACAATGCAAACCCTTAAATCCCCAAAACACACCAATTTGCAAAGAGTCCCCCAAACCTGCTGTTCTGAATTGAAGGGCCACAGGGTTCTAAAGTAGCTGCTTTATTTACAGAGACTTTAGGTATTCATAGTCCTTTCCTTGTCTCTCATTTGAGTCCCCATGAATGCCGAGAGACAGGCAGGGAAATTAAAACTTAAGAGGCTTACCCCAGTCCCAGAGTGAAGGCAGCATGGAGGTGGCAGTAAGAGGTGACATTACTCAGGTGATGGTGGCCTGAGGAGAGCTGCCCGTCCATTCTGCTCCGAGGCCTGAAAGGAATGCAGCAATCACAAGTGACCATCAGGTTATCTGCACGGAAAGGGCCTACAGTCTCAGGTCCTGAAAAACTGCAGCAACAGTGGGAGCCGAGCAGCGGCAGGGGAGGAAAGGAGTGATGCAGACTCTCCCCTGACCCTCCTTTTTGTCTCCTTACTCACTCCTTTTCCTCTGCGCTCACCTTAGCTAAGTGGAATAATTGAAATGCTACGCCTGCCCTGCAGTCAGGCCGTTGTCACGGCTGGTTATCTTGACCGTGAGCCTCCCTGTCCCCAGTCAGAAAGCAATGATCGCATCTGTGTACGAGTTATGGAGAGAGCCTCTAGAGGAGTGAACACACACACTGTGATTCTGGAAGAGGGGACAGCGTTGAAGATTTTAATTGTCATTGTATGCCCTATTGGCATTATCTGAAGTATTCTGGCTTATGCATATAGTACTTTTATAATTTTATTTTTAAGTTTTTATTTGGACTAGTGATGCTCTTTAGAGTCGCTGTGATGATGACTTGTGTCAGGTGTCTGGCACATGGCCTGGTGTACAGTCGATGCTTATTGCACGGCAGTCTATTATTAGTTATTACACCACCCTCAGAACTGAGCAAAGGCACTTCACGTCGAGAAATTTGGGGTCTGGTGCAGACTCTGCTCTCAGCTCACTGTATCCCCTTGAGCAAGTCACGCCCCTTTTCTGCACCTCAGTTTCCTCATCTGTGAAATGGCAAGATACATGCCACTCGATTTGGAAAAGGGTGGGAAGAAAACAGAGATGCTCACCACCAAAAATGCCACAGGCACCTTCTAAAGTTCAGCCTCAGTATTTGCAGGGGAGATCTCTCAAACTTGACCTCGTGAGGCAGAAACCCTTCCTAGGAGAAGCTGTCACCAATAGGCAGAAAGGGCTGAAGTCAGCTGAACAATTTCTGAAGATAACAGAGTAATCAAATTAGGAAATAACAATGTATGAACACTGTTTAAGGCCATAAGCTTAGGGTGGGAGGGAGATACAGGAGATTTAGGCCGTTCATTGGGTGCAGTTGGCACCAGTATCATTTCCTGACAAAAGAGACGCCGTTGGTTGGCAGAAGAGGTACAATTCAAGGCCGGAGCCTTCTGCCCCAGCCAGAGCCAGCCCCGGTCCAGTTCCCTCATCTGACAGTTCTGTGTAGGGCGCAGGACTGGCCTTGGGGAGATGAGACCCTCTCCTGAGCATGATCAGAAGCAGAGCCACCCAGCAGGAATGGACTAGAGCACCCCTGAAGTGGCTCTCAGCATTAACTGAACAACAACAACAAAGCCGAGAGACTGGGCCATAGGAGGTACAGATGCTCAGAAACTAAAACTTGAGCAGCTGAATTGGGGAGACCTGTTCTAGGCACCCCAGCTCCTGAGAATCAAAGAGAGATTTGTTCCGACAACACCCAGCTGATTTATTCTTCACCCTGCTCATCCGGAATCGGGATTCCCCTTCGAGTCTGTCTCCCTTGCCAACACTTGCCTTTGGGGACAGGAGGCAGGTAGTCTGGTGGGTAGGAAGGTCGGGACTTTCTTTTTGCTCTTCAGTCTTCTTCCTATTGAAAGCAGCACTGCCTGTTGTAGCAGCCGCCTGCCAATATTCGCGGGCAGGAAGATTTTCTGACACGGTAAGGGAGATGTTCACAGTAGATGGGTGGCCCCTTCCCAAAGCCATCGGGCAGGACAGACATGGGTTTCACCCACCCCCTAAGGAAGAACTCCCAGTCCCCACTCTCAGGGCAGCACCCAGAAGGTACCTGACCTTTTTTTCTTGTTACTAAAAAGGGGGATTTTTTCCCCATCTCTCTAAATTATATGGCTACGCCTGTTACAGTGACACCTCCTGCCAAAGCTCCTGTTGTCTCTACCTACCGGGGAGGTCATGTTTTCAGTTCTCGAGGGAACTGGGAGCCCCCTCCCTTTCTGAGGAGGCCTGGAGACCTAAGGGAGGGTGGCACAGGTGGCTTGTAGAGAGGCTTCCGCAAGTAACAACCACTCTGCCTGAACGCTAGAGGCAAAACCAAACATAAAAACAGCCCCAACCATCCCGGGCAGACACACCTATATTGTCCGAGCTTCTGTGATTTCAGAGCAATGCCTTCCGTTGGACATTACAAGTCACTTTCAGAGGCAGTTAGTACTAGATGTTTGGCCACACGTTAAAATGTCTCCTTACTTGCTTATCTTGCCTGCTTCTTTTCTGTGCCCGTTTGTATCCCTAATAAGCAGCATTGTTTATTAGCCTTGGGTCCATGCCCCTGCGACAGAACCGAAAACAGGAGCGCCGAGGCTGAGCGCTGGAAAATACGCCGGCTTTCCCCGGCCCCCGGGGATCCTCCGGGAGCCGCGCAGGAAAAGCCCACCAGTGCGTGTGCGCCCGGGGAAGGGCAACCTTGCAAGAGTTATTCCAGAGGCCGTGAGGTCCTGGGCAACCCGAAACTCAGATGAGTGGGCAGGAAAAAGACACGTGAAGAGAAATGTCACCAAGGATTGGGATACGGGTGTGACTTAAGGGCCGGAGAGGGTGCAGTGCCAAGATCGGGGGAAAAGGGACTGAGAGGCGGGAAGCGCTCTGAACCATCTTTTAGGTGGAAGTCTCAATTCTCATCTCCGTGCAGTAAATTCTCATTAATAAATTCTTGTTCTTCCAAGTAGCCCCACAGCCTTTGCTGTAAAAATGAGTGTCCTACACAAGATGAGGCTTACTCCCCTCCTTTCCTAATATTTGTCCCCATTTCGTTTTCAGCTGGGTGCCTCGTGGCCGTGCAGAATGTAGCGCAGGACTTGAGAAATAACGCGTCGCTATACCTCCGGCCACAAAGGAAGTCTTTCAGTCCCCCTCCGACCCCAAAGGCCCCCCCCCCCCCAGGGCTCTTCCCAAGTTCCACTGCTTCCAAAACCGAGTACGGTTCTCTATCAAAAATCAGAAACCCGCATCGGAGACACAACGCGGACTCCCTTCCAGGTCTGGGGGGAAATTTCCCGGCTTAGCCCAGCCTGCGCCTCCACCCACATCCTCCCCAATTTAATGTAGGGGCGGGCTCTGTTGGAGCGGGTGCCAGAAAGAATGTTATTAACGGTGCGCGCCAGACGCGGGCTGTGCGCTTCCCAAATGAGACTTCCAGGGCCTGGCCGAACTGTCTTTCCCACAGGTTCCTGTGAGAGACGAATCCCCTGTCCCCCATCCTCTGAAAATTCCTTCGACAGTCTTCAAAATATGACCAAACTGTCCTCGCTAGCCGCACTCCCTCATCCAGTTAGGGTGTTTAAAGAGATTCTGTTTTCTCATAAGAGCAGAGTGATTTCCCTCCAGCAGGAGATTCTTTACGCTGCCTCTGGGTTGCAGCACGTCCAAGCTTCGGGAGACTTTTCCAAATTTCAAGGAGTAAAGTAAATTTCGGTGCAGGGGAAAAAATGCGGTTTGCTGGAGCGCAGGGTCGGGGTGAGAGCCCCGGAAGCCTCCAGGAGGCTTTTCTGGTTTTTAAAGTCAGACTTGCACCTCGACCGACGCTAGCACAAACGGCAAGGTTTGGTGTTTTTCGAATTTAGAGACCCTTGCGGCGTTTGAGCTCAGCCCTACGGCCAGGGGACCCACCCACCCCCACAGCGTACTGGGGATTGTTTTGCGACCCAGAAGAGCGGGCAGAGACGCAGCCGACTTTTCTGAGGCTCCCAGCTCTACTGTCCTCGCCCTGCTGGTGCCACCCAGAACCATCCCATCGCTGCTAGGATTGCGCAGGGGGAAGGAAGACCGAAGGTCTAGGCTGCGGAATCTCCCAACAGGTAGTTTCACCCGGCAGCTGGCCTGGTTTAAATATCAAAGACTGGGCTGCCGGGGCTGCTAAACTGGAACCCAGAGGCAGACACCTAGAGAGCCGTGGAAAGAATGTTGCGTTCTGGGAGTCACTTTAAATAACCTTGTTTTCTCTCCATTCTCCCAACTTCTTTTCCGAAATAGCGCACAAGCCAAGTTGTTTGGAACAGCATTCAGTGAGCCTAAATAAGCCGCTTCAGGCTGTAAACTCACATCCGATTTGGGTCCTTCCCCTTCCCCTCCCCCTTCCGCAGTAGTTACTACAGAACCCAGCTCGGTTTAGAGTGATAGGTATTTATTTGAGAATTGGGAGATTCCCCTTCGAAATGTCCCAGGCTCTAGAGTAAAAGAGGGGAAGGCAGTGTTGCACTTGGGTGGCATAATTGAATTATGCCTTTCCCTGGTGCGCAGGGAGGCAAAGCAGCACGCCAGGCTGCGTGTGGAACGGCGGCCGAGGCCTGGCGCTGCGGCCGCACCACGTTCCCTTCCCGGGGCGCTGGGAGAAGTTGGGTTGGGCTCCTTCCCCTAGCTCTCCGCAAGAATGCACCTCGCAGAAGGCTGGTGTGGCTTTGGGGTTTCCTGCCTTTCCGGGGCGCTCGCCCAAATGTCCCCTCCTGAGACCGTGGGCGCATGTGGTGCCCATGCGAACACCCAGCACTTAACTCGAAACTGCCTGCGCGGCCCCAAAGACGCACGGCCCTCTCTGGGTGGAGGAAAGCCGGACTCGGCCTCTGAGCGGGTAGATACAATCCTGCCTTGGCAGATGAGCCTCTCCCACTGCTGCTTTGAGCTAACCCTGGGTATGGCTTTCCACATCTGCACGAATGCCCCGAACTCCCGGCTCTGCCTATCTCCTAAGGAAACTTGCTCAGACTCCCCACAGCCACGGGTCCCAGGACGCCTCTGGGGCCTTGGGCAAACCCGACCCAGGATGCTTGGATCTTTACCCGCCCCTGAACCTGGCCTCCCAAGAGCGCCCAACCCGCTCCCCAAAGCTCCAGCTAGAACTGCTTGCTTACCTTGAGACTAACCGCGCTACAAACTTTCCAAAGTTTTCTCAAGCTTTGCCACCTCTTGTCTGCCTCGAATGACACTGGCAGGAGAAAAAGAAACCCCCTTTCACCTCCACCTATCTTTCCCTCGCTCCCTCCCCCCTCGTCCACCCCGGAGAGTTGAAACTTTCGACCCTTTCGAACCTTTCGGGTGGTACCTTGCAGCGGTGGAGCCCCCGCCTCTGGAGAGAAGGGAGTTAGCTTCTCATTCCCCACTTACTGCGCCTCTGCTGTTCCGCCCCCTCCGCCCCCACCACACCGTCGGTGGGGACCTGCGAGCTTGGAGTTTAGTTTGGTTCAAATTTATTATTTTCCTTTAGATTTTTTTCTTTGGGATTCTGCTCTGCTGGAGCCTTGAGCATCTGCCTGCGTTCCAGTTCTCCTGCGTGCAGATTGGGAGACGCACCCCTAGCGCCTGGGGGGCGGAGGGAGGGTGTTGTCTCCCGAGTTGGGGTCAGAGGCTCCCAGGCTGCAAGTTCTCCAGCTGGGCTTCGTCTCCCAGGGAGAGGGAGACGTCCAGTTGTGAGGAGCTGGGGGGGGGGCGCTTAAGGCAGGCCTCCCCCTGCTTCTTGGTCGCTTCTCAAGTGTGGGCGCGCGCGGGATTGGGGACGTTATTTTTATATTGTTTCGGAGAGAGGAGTAGGCAGGAGAGGAGACCCTGTTCTAAGACGCAGGGAATTGAAGAAAGAAAGTTTCCTTTCTTCCGGGTTGCGCAGCTGGAGGTGCGGGACCAGGAGACCGCCGCAAAAGTGCCCCAAGTTCGTTTGTTTGTGGCCTATTGTGTTTTTATTTCGTCTAGGATTAGTGACCTGTGAGATGTTTGTGGTCAGTCATACACGCCCCCCCCCCCCCCCCCCCCCCCCCCCCCGGCTTCAGACCAGCAGGTCAACGGGACGTTCCTGCGAGACCGAATCTCCCAGAGCGCTGCTGGGGCGCGCGCGGAGGAGATAAACGGAATCCACCACGGATGACGCAGCATGGCGCGTACTACTGGGCTTGGTCCCCGCGGGCGTTTCTCAGCCTCAATGCATTGGGCTTGGAG